TTATATCTATTTGATTGCACTATGGTATAATACATTATATGCATGCTACTCAGATAATTTGGCTTCCAGATCTGCCAAAAGCCTTCCAGTGAACAGATTTCAAATCAGTTGGAACTAGAAGGAGTAGATTTTTTTTTTGTTATGTTGGAAAAACATATCGTGGCAGTAATTATGAAATATTTTATGAGTCAAGAAAATGAGTTAGCTAAACTTAAGTTTCAGTCTGGACTATTCTAAATACTAGAAAAGAATTAATCTTTTGACAAGAGATATTTCCTAACACCACCTAATTTTCATTTTCCTCTTGTATTTTTCACCCCTTGCACAGGTTGTCTTCCACTGCCGGGGCAGAACAGCTGTTTTCCTGGCTCTTACTATCATTTTATTTGAGTTTGCAAAGAGTAGTTAGTAGTTAGACACAGATAGCAAGGTGGCAGAGATATCAATTCCCTTTTCACCTCAGCAAACGTGTTGCATCATTATAATGAATCATTATTATAACATGGCCAGTTCTGTAAATGTTACAGACCCAGGTTGTCCCACTATTAACCAGGTTATGCACGTGGCTTAAGATTTTCTAGGACCAGTGACTGCAGCATAAACTTTTCCAGAGACTCCTGCTTTTTTGGAATGCAGGACCTGACAGTGATATGTCCACTGGGCAGGCACATTGAGCTGAGCTGTGTGTTTAGCTCTTTATATATATATCAGCCCTGAAGAAGATCTGGTGTGGTGATGTCTGCTTGTTAATTCAGGCAAAGTCATGCCTGAATCTTCAAGGCTTACCGTTATTAATAAAACAGTAATAACACCACCTAGCAAGTACAGCTTTTGGTGACTTCAATCTACAAGCATGTGTTTCTCAAAGCTACCTCAAGGATCTGGAAAACTACTTTAATTGACACTAAATATGAAGGACCAGCAGCTGAAGAGGTAGAATTTTGGATGTGACTGCAGCTTTTAGAAAGGGAAAATGCAAAGATGGAGAACACTTGGCATATCTCCTGTCATGGCAGAGTTCCAAATATTGAACTGCAGTCCTTCTTTGACAACTTCATGCTGTGCTGAGTTGTTTATCTTTCTTTAATGTGAACAATTGTTCTAGGAAAGTGAATTGTGCTGAAATATGTACTATGCCAGCTCTGCTTAGAAATCAGTAGCATTATAATTTCAGAATATTTGTTCTGAAATAATTATTGTCCAAGGAGTGATCTTTGTGTCAGTAATTCAGGTGCCTACATGCCCATATACTGTAAGTCACATAAAGGCTTAGCTGATGAATGGTGCCCCAGCAGTACATTCTTTCAGTGACTAATTCAGATGGCTTTCTGTTGCCCCTCTCTGTGGTCCCAGAACACAGTAATGATACGTACATAAATAACTGACCCCGTGTTTTGAGTGTTATACCTTGTTCATTTACTTGGGTACATTTACAGCTGAGAGAGACCAAAATTATGCTGGTGAACTTGTTGCTGTATGCAAAATGCAGATAAATACAGTAAGAGAAGACAGAGCAAAAACGTGAGAACTCTGAGAGAATAGTAGTTACTTGTGATCACTAGAATGGTTTGTGTCCTGTTGATGTTGCTGCTATTCTCTGAGTGTTTTCGGATTTGTCTGTCCTAGATAAGTTCTGAGAATTTCTTTCCACTGATAAAACTGATGGGGCAGCTTGTTTTTGAGTGGACTGAGAAATGTTAGCTTAACACCTATGGAAAATGACTGTTGCCAAATTATGTAAAACTTACCCACATTTCATTTGGCATATTCAGCTCTTTGTCTCTTCATCCTTGTTCTGCTCTGCTTTTGCCATTTTGAAAATAATGCTGTTTTTTAACATCTGCAAGATGAAGAAAGTGTAGTTGAGGCAAATGGGAGGAAAGAACTAATACGAGTTTTTATCTGTTAACTAGTATGATTGTAAGCAGCAGAATATTTTAATGGTAATTGGAACCATTTGGCTGAAGAGCAGCAGCTAAGATATTTTTGTAAATGAGTATCACCTGATTGGATTTTGGTTTTTGTTGAAAGCACTGAGGAGTGCTTTGTTTGTTTCGGTGTTTTTTTTTCCCCAGTGTCCATTTGTTCAAGAAACGAATCACAGAATCACAGAATGGCCTGGGTTGGAAGGGACCTCGCGGATCATGAATCTCCAGCGCCCCTGCCACATGCAGGGCCCCCAAGCTCTCCATTTAATACTAGATCAGGCTGCCCAGGACCCCATCCCTGGGGGACACGGCTCATTACTGGCCTCCACCTGGACATGGAGCCATTAATCACTACCCTCTGTCTGTGGCCTTTCAACCAGTTTCTTATCCATCAAGTGTCCACCAATCAAATCCACATCCCTTCAATTTGGATATAAGGATGTGATGGGGAACCATGTCAAAGGCTTTGCTCAATGTAAATGACATCGGTCACCTTCCCTTTGTGCACTGATGCCACCACTCCATCATAGTAGGCCAACAGATTGGTTAAGCATGACCTTCCCCTGGTGAAGCCGTGCTGGCTGTGTTGGATCACACGCTCATTCCTCGTGTGATCAAGCATGTTGTCCAGGAGGATCTGTTCCATGATCTTCCCAGGCACAGAGGTGAGACTCACCAGCCTGTAGTTCCTTAGGTCCTCCTTGCTCCCTTTCTTGTAAATGGGAGTGACGTGACCCTTCCTCCAGTCATCCAGGACCTCACCTGACAGCTGCAACTTTCCAAATATGATGGAGAGCGGCTCGGCAACCACCTCAGCCAGCTCCTTCAGAACCCTGGGATGCACGCCATCTGGCTCCATAGATCTGTACACATTCCGTCTCATGAGGCAATCTCATACTTGCTCTGCCTTTACAGTGAGGGCAGATTTACCACCCCAGTCCTCACCAAGAGGTTTAGGGATGCAGGACTCAGGGATGTGAGAAATATTAGAATCCTGGCTGCCACTGAAGACCGAGGCAAAGAACTCATTCAGTACCTCAGCCTTCTCTTCATCTGTTGAAGCCAGTTCTCCTTTTACATTTACTGAAGGAAGTACATCATTTTGGCCTGTCTCTTCTGGCCAACGTACCTGTAGAATATCTTCATATTATTTTTCACATCCCTCACCAAGTTCAGTTCTGCCTGTGCCTTGGTTTTCCCAACCCCACATCTGCGAATCCAGACAGCATCCCTGTATTCTTCCCAGGTGACACGTTCTTGTTTCCAGAGCTTGCATGCACCTTTCTTTGCCCTCAGTATGGCCAGCAGGTCCTTGCCGATTCCCTACCTCCTCTGCCTGCTTTCTTATTCAGAGGGACAGAGGGCTTTTGTGCTCTCAGGAAGTTATCCTTGAAGAGTAGCCAGCTCTCCTCAACATCTTTGTCTTTAAGGACAGCATGCCAGGGATCTTGTCCAATTTCTTGAACAGCTTAAAGTTCACTCTTCCAAAGCTCAGGGTCCTGACCCCACTCTTTGCCAGATCCACATCCATTGAGATCATGAACTTGACCAGGGCATGGCCACTGCAGCCCAAGCTGCCTCCAAACTTAACGGCTTTAATGATCTCCTCTACATTGGTGAGCAGGAGGTACAGCAGCTCTTCACCTCTGGTCAGTCTGTCCAATACCTGGACCAGAAAGTTATCATCAAGGGATTCCAGGAGCCTCCTGGACCTCTTGCATCTCGCTGTGTGGTCTTTCCAACAGAGTAAAGCTAGATCAATAAGGATTTATTTTTTTTTAATTTTCCTGTAGTTTTTAGAATAGACAGGTCAGAGTGTTCTCAAGGAAGTGACAGAGGAAGTTCAGATGTTTTATTCTTGTTTCACTTCTCCTTACTCCATGACGTGGGATGGAAGGAATGATAAGTCCTTGTAAATTGGCAGATTTTACTTCTTACTTCAGCAACATTTTCTCACGACATGAATCTGTACTCCATATATTAATTTCCTCTATGCACATTTTATTTCATTGGGCTTGTATTCGATTTCAGTCATAATTCAGTTCACTGGTATCTGCAAATCTGGAGTTTTTTGAACAGTGATGTATCAGACTGCTTACACTTGTACATAACTTAGTTTAATCACCAACCTATTTGTTGCCAATGAAATGCAAAATGTTGCTTCATGACTTTGCTTGCAAAGTTGTTTTGTCTCCTCACAATTTCATTTAACAGTCTGACCGTTTGTGCAGGTGAAGCAAATACTACTACGGTCAGAAACTGCTGTGTGACTGAAATGGATTTAAAGAACTGGTAACATTAAGCTTCTGAAAAGAAATCTGTAAAGTTAAGCTGTTTAGAGTCACTGTTTTATTTGCTTTTCAAACTTGACAGATTTAAGGCTGGAATATAGTTTGAGACAAAAGAATAACTTTTGAGAATCAGAAAATTAGAATATTACTTTTGCAGTGAAATATATAGTTCTCTGAAAATCAAGTTTTTTGCACAAAACTCATCTTCTGTCAGGTCATCTTTCCATCTAATATAATTAACTGGGAGAAGATTATTAGTTGAAAAATCATCTTTTACTTTGTTTTTGTATGGTTCTATCTTAGCAGTTATCTGCACTCACCAATCTGAACAGTTTCATATGTAGAGCCACTTTGTACAGTCAGCAGCCCTGAATTTCAGAATTGTTGCTTGTTGTCTTGCTTTTATCCTAGTTTGTACATCACTCATCAGAACAGAAATAATTATACCGAGGTGATCTCTAAACTGTTTCATACAGAAGATTTTACAAGAGCTGCTCTATTCCTGTTACACTGAGACATTATTACTGTGGTGTATTTACTGGTTTCTCTTTGAAGCATAGTGTAGGTATAATGAATGTGAAACTTCACAAAACTTGCTTGGCACAACACTGCTATCAAGTACACGACATGGCGTAAGTGCATCAACTCTTCAGTGATTATTTAATGATTTGCTACTATTACACAGAATCAGAAAATCACTACTATGGTAGGAGAGGAATTTAAATAACGTGTCTCTTGATATTTCTGCTGTATGTAATTCATTTCATTTCTTCCTCTTCAGGCTGTGCTGAGTCCTCTTATAGCGATCGCACTGAAAATATCTCAGATCCATGAGAGGACGGGGAGAAAGGGACCCACTGTCATCACCTGAAGCTGTGGAGGATTGTTAAAACAGAGCCAAAAGAGAAACAGCAAGGAAGAGACAGGACTTTGCTGAAACATGTTAGCTGTTTGTGCCTTATGTGGTTTAAAAACTTTTCTTGGGGATAGAGGGAGGTGGAATGAAAAATTCAATGTCATGTCAAGCATATTCAGTTACATTGATCTCCAAAGACAGTAGTATATTGACTTCTTTGTTTTACCTGTAATATCTTTCTTTCAGATAACAATATAATCACAGAAAAAGTCCTTAACTCCTAAATGTTGCCAGCGATGTGACAGAAAAGGCAAACTGCTTATTTTTGAATACTACGATAATAGTTGAGAAATTTCAGTTATGGAGAGAGGGGAAGAAGCTGCAAAGCAAAGACATGTTTGGGATCCTTGTATCCTTATTGTTGGTTTACAGAGACGTATGCAGAACATGTCTGGGGCCTAAGGGCTCTGTGCTAAGCTTTGTGAAGCGTGCATTTTCTCATCTGACATCACTTCTCCAATCTCTCATGTTGCTCACAAATACATGCTGGCAGCAGTGTTGTATACACACTTGCACATGCTCTCAAAGAAAGTGTCATCCCATATTTTTTTAACCCTGCTTTTAAAGCATATCAGTCCTGCTTGTGCCTTTGCGTTTTCTTGATTTTTGACTTTTGAGGCAGTTGTGCTGTAGAAGCTGATTGTGTCCTTGCAGCAGTATGTTGGGTATAGAATCTTGGCTGTCTTTTGTGATATTCCTTATGCCAGAAGATGAAGCTGGTGCTTCTTATGTTTGAAAGACAATTGCTTCAAGTTCAGCAATTTTACAGAAAGAAGTTAGGATGGAAATTCTTAAAGTCTTTGCAATAGTCATGTTCCATTTAGCACAAAGTGGCTAGTGAGGTGTGTAGTGAAGAGGAAATGTAAACAAACACAAATAACTTGTATCATTCAGCAGCTAGACTCAGCTTTTGTTAGTTCTTTTCTTACAGTGGATCATGAAGTAAAAAGTTAGGGAGTGCCAAGAGTGAAGAGATGACCTGTTATGAATCTGAGAAGGACATCTGGGGATATAGACATCAGCATTTTTCTGCTTGTGAAATGATACTGCAGTTCTAGCTACACGCAAAGACTTTATGCATGTGACTTGTTTGAAAGCTTTGCTTCCTTGGGAACAGTGTGGTCACTTGTATGATTTCTTAAGGTGGCTTTGTTCCACCTGTCTTTCCGCAGTGTGTTTCATTTCATTGTGGCTGTCAAATCTAATGCAATTTATATAACATTGCAGCAAAAGAAACTGGTTTTGATTTCTTTCAACACTTCTGTCAAATAAATTCTATGACACTAAATACACAGTAAAGAGAAATGCTATATTTCTGTCTTGTTGGCAAGACACACTGCACTTTCAAGCTTCCTAATAAAACTGCTTTTCATACAGTTACACTGTCTTCATGATTGACTCTAAACAGATGAGCACTCAGAGATGGGACCCCTCTGCCTCTATTGTTGGTTCACAGTTTTATCAGGTCTGGAAATTGTAATGGTTGTTCAGCTGCAGTTGTGCTAGCATTTATTTGGACAGTAATTTTGTCTCTCAGAACATGATATTTTTGAGTATCCGTCACTAATTAGCAAACAAGTTTGCAAAATGCAAAGAGAGATAAAGGAAATAAAGGGAGCACAGTCTAAGAAGGATAGATGCACTTATGTATTGTATTAAAGAAAACTGCCCATAATCTCATGTGCCTATTGACATATGAACTGTGGTGATGATTTTATAGTCACATATAGTCTGTATTAGGCGCTGTAAGGCCCATTTTGGAGCAGTATGGAATGATGACTGACAACTCAAGCAGTTTACAAAAGCACAATAATTGAGACTGAATTATTGAAAACAATGAGAGCATAATGCCCATGTGATTAGAAACAGCAGATTGTTTTGAGTAGTCTCAAGGAGGGAGCGTGGTTTTTATATGCAAACTGCTTACATCTGCTCTCCAGCATCATGTGGTTTGAGCTAACGCATAAAATAAGAGGAAATTGTCCCCTAGCACAGCCAAATGGTTACTACATTTTCCCTTTGGAGTGGTGTCCTTCTAAAAGAGAATTAGCGGCAGCATGAAAAGCTCGCTGTGTTCACAGACAGCTTGGATGGCAGCAGTGCTCACAAGAATTACAGGATCACATATCATTAGGGCTGAGAGGGACAGTCTAGCCCATCAGGACAGTGGTCAAAGAATCATAAGATCATAGAATTGTTAAAGTTGGAAGGGACCATTAAAAGTTACCTAGACCAACTCCCCTGCAATGAACAGGGACATCCACAGCTAGATCAGGTGCTTAGGGTCCCGTCCAGTCTGACCTTGAGTATTTCCAGGGATGGGGCATCCGCCACCTCTCTGGGTAACCTGTTCCAGTGCCTATCATCTGTATTGAAAAAATCTTTTTCCTTATATCCAATCTAAATCTTTTAGTTTGAAACTATTTTCCCTTGTCCTGTCACCACAGACCTTAATAGAGAGTCTGTCCCCTTCTTTCCTGCAGTCAGTCCCCTTTAGATAACATGAAAGGCAGCTCTCAGATCTCCCCAGAGCCTTCTCTTCTCCAGGCTGAACAGCCTCAGCTCTCTCAGCCTGTCCTCACAAGAGAGGTGTTCCACCCCTTGGATCATTTTTGTCACCCTTTTCTGGATGTTCTCTAGCAGGTCCATGCCTCTCCTGTCCTGAGGACTCTACATCTCAACAGTGCAGAGTAGAGAGGCAGGATCACCTCCCTTGACTTGCTGGCCATGCCTCTTTTGATGCAGCCCAGGATGCAGTTGTCCTTCTGGGCTGCGAGGGAACAGTTCTGGCTGTTCAGTTTTGTTCTCCCTAGTTCAAGAAAGATTGAGGACAACTGGAAAGATCAGCTGAGGTCTGTAGATGTGGTTAGGGACCTGGGTAATCTCCCTTGTAAGGAGAGGCTGAGGGTGTGGAGTGTTCAGCCTGGTGAAGGGAAGACTTAGAGGGTATCTTATCAATGCTTTTGAATATCTAGAGGGTGGATGCCAAGTGGATGGGGCCATGATCTTTTGAGCAGTGCCCAGTGACAGAACAAGGGGGAATGGACACAAGGAAGAAAACAAGAACGAACTTTACTTTGATAGTGACAGAGCATTGGAGCAGGGTGCCCACACAGGCTGTGGAGTCTCTCTGGAGATACTCAAAACCCTCTTGAATGCTGCCTTGTCCAACCTACTGTAGGGATGCCTTAGCATGGCGTTGCGCTAGGTGATCTCCAGAGGTCCCTTCCAATCTCTGCCCTTCCAATCATGGATTCTGTGATTCTGTGACATATTTCTTGTTATCTGAAATTATTTACTACAGTGGCCTGGATGCAAGTTTTCTTCTGTGATTTTGCAAAAGGAAGGAAGGAAGCATGTGACAAAGGATGAGTTCAAGCTTGTCCTCTTTCCAGTACTTTGAGTCCCATTTTTATTCCTCACAGCTCTTAAATAAGAGCAATTCAAAAAGCAGCTGCTTAAATAACAGCAAATCTAAAAGCTCTGCTTTTAGAGAGCTTAGAGAGGGGCCTGTGCAGGTTTTTCCACCATGCTAGTTCTCTCTGAGGAGTTGCACACATAACCAGGATTGTCTGTTTAGCAGTTAGGAAGTGTAGCAACTCCTAAGGTTTTGTACTGTGTACTTTCCTTTAACTGGGGGCACCTTGTATCATACAAGCAAATGCATGGCATTGGTTTTAAATCAAAATTTATTCACAAATTCAGTAGTAAATTACCAAGTACTAGTGCTTCAGAACAAAACAAGTAGCTTACAATATATGCTACAAAAATACTCAGTTACTACAAATGTTACAAATTCCAGACAAAAGCTGGTGAATTAGTAGGTTTCCCAAGTCAGCGATTGTTATAAAACCACAAATGAGGACTTTCAGCCAAAACTCCTTGTGAGACACAAGACATTTAGGACTGGTAACAGCATGAAGCTCCTTACAATCATAGAATGTTTTGAGTTATAAGGGACTTAATGGATTATCAAGTTCCAAGCCTCCTGCTACAGTCAGGTTTGCCAGCTGTTAGATCAAGTACCAGCTCAGGCTGCCCAGGTCCCATCCAGCCTGGCCTTAAACACCTCCAGGGATGGGGCATCCACAGCCTCTCTGAGCAGCCTGTGCCAGCACCTCATCACACTCTCAGTGAAAAACTTCCCCCTTGCATCTAATCCAAACACTGTTTAAAACCATTCCCCCTTGTCCTATCATTGTAAAATGTTAAACAGGATTTCCCTCCTGTTCATAATCTTCCTTTAAATACTGAAAGGCCATAAGAAGGTGTCCCCACAGCCTTCTTTTCTCCAGACTGGACAAGCACAGTTCTCCAGCCTGTCTTTATAGGAGAGGTGCTCCAGCCTTCAGGTCATTTTTGTGGCTTTCCTCTGGACCCTCTCCAACAGTTCCACATCCTATACTGGGTGCCCCAGGCCTGACACAGTACTCCAGATGGTGCCTCACATGGGCAGAGCAGAGGGGTACAATCACCTCTCTTTCCCTGCAGGCCACCCCTCTCTGATGCAACCCAGAATACCACTGGTCTTCTGGGCTACACTCACTGCTGTCACACGTTTTTCATCTACCAGAACCCCCAAGTTCTTCTCAGCAGGGCTGCTCTCAGGAAATTCTCCCATCATTAGCATCTTTCTCGCAGCATACGAAATGACTCCTATTGTCAGTGACATCGACTTTTCTAAGATTTGTTTGCATGTCAAGAGCATTTCTGTGCACGGGAAGCAGGAAAAAAAAAAAAGTAATACTTTTTATGACAAAACAGCTTGTTAGGTTTTTCATTTATGGCCAATTAAAAAACCACAATATTAAGCAGTAGGGTTTTTTTTCTTTCCTATTTCGTGCAAATCTTAAAGGATCTGATTTTGTAAGGTAACTTTCCTGCTTGCATATTTCCTTACCTGACTGAAGATATCAGACAACAGTGATTAAGTAACAAAGCCCCTGGTGCCTTCTGTGTAGAATTGCTTCAGCATTGAGCTTTAAAGCCGTAGTTGCAATGAAGCTAGCAGATGATTTCCCACTGATTTCTGTTTCCTCAGAGCTGCTTACTGTTACATTTCTTTCAGAAGGATTTGCAGTTACACCGACACTGTAATGGACAGGCTGTCAGAGCAGCAGTGCTCGCACCTAGTGGGAGGGGCAGGGGTTGTCTCTTACCCACTGGATAAGCACCAGCCTCCAGCGAGTGCCTCCCGCAGGCTGCGCAGTAACAGCAGAGTGTATCTCTCCATGCACCTACCTATGCTCTCCTGACATAGCCAACAGCTTGTTTGCTCTGAGTCCCTTGGTAGTGTTACACAGAGGTGACTATTTCCATGTGAAGAAACACTGTGATCACATTGGGTGGCATTTCCTTAAGCAAACGCTGCAGACCTGTGAATCTCCTTTTTTGAAATGCTGAGCACCTTTCTGCTTTCCCCCTCCAGCTTCCCTCAAATATGAAAACAGGCAGTGCTTTTCCCGGGTGGCTCTGACCTGGGTGATGCAGGCCCAGGCAGCACTGACTGACGTCCCTGCCCGGCTGTCCCGTGCTCTGTCTGAGGTCCCTTGTCTGCCTGTCTGCTGTCAGCAAGCATTGTCCTGTGCGGGTGCACAAGCATCTGACTCCTGCATGGGGCTCAAGACCTGGCCAGGTAGTTCATATGGTGGGGGCTGCTCTGGCTCGTTAGTCTCACTGACAGGCTCTGTGCTGCTCTCGCTGTAAGGAGGTGGTGGAATGTTAATGACTTCTTGCTCTTTTGGTGCAGAGGCCACAGGTAGTGGGAAGGTCTGCTTCTCAGGGTCAGTGCTGTCTTCATAGGATGGCGGGTAGAAATCAGGCCTGAAAGAAAAGCAGCAAACCAAAATGAAGTGCATCATGGTGAAACGTGAATTGTCTCTGAGAGCTTGGTGAGGAGCTATCTGCTGTGTTTCCAAAGTTCAGTTGAGGCTTAAGCTTTATATGGAAACCCAGGCAAGGTTCAAGACGTGCAATACATAAATGCAAAGGAACTGGCATAGCTGGGCTCATTACCCGTATCTTTCTCCACAAACTTTTGTTAAAAGAAGAAATTCAGACATGAGAGAGTTCCCATGAAATACACATGGGTGTATTTTAGCAAGTGCAAGAGATAAGTTCCATTTGGAGAAAGAGAGAGATCACTGCCTGAAGTAGCTTATTTATTTAGTGTTATAATAATCATTACTTTACACAGTTTTAAATTACACATAGCATATTCCTGCTTGTCTAACCAAAATTTGCTGAATATTGTACGCAGTGTTTTCAGAATACCCACTGCCAATGTTTCTGGTGTGGTTTCCACAACAGTCTGTGAAAACTAATCTGTATCCAGTGACCCTGTAAAAAAAACACTCTCAGGCCCAGCACCAGTCAGTGTAAGAAAATGTCTCTCTGAGCACCAGACTTTGCTCCTAAATAGTGGGAACAATTATGCAATAACACTTTAGCTAGGACCATATAGGGAGCTGTAGCTCACTGCATACTTCCTTGAGCAGAGTGGCTGGAATAGCGATATGGGAGCACAGCCTGCAGGGCAGAACCCGTGTGGTCCATTGCAGTGCAACTAGTGATACTTTGGCAGGATCTTCACTGCTGTCAGCACGGCTGTACCTGCTCCCACTATGAATGCATTTGAAGCTTTCTGAGCAACCTGCTATGTTTTCAGGGATATACCTTACCTTACTTGCTGTTTTGTATTGCTTCTGGCTCTTGCATTGCACTTCTGTTCTCACAGTATGCTTAAAGCTAAGCATCTCTCCCAGTCATTCATCGGCAGCAGTTCTGTAGCACGTACCTGTCTATGGTGCTGACACGGAGCTCTGTAAGGCCAGGGTTTCTCGTGAAGATGTTGCTGAGGCCCCCGTATTTCATGGCTTCATGGACCATGCTCCAGAAAATGCCAGTCACAAGGAGCAGGAGTCCCAGAGCTAACAGGCAGTAAGCAACCAACGTGCTATTCCTGCATCTGCATGCAGAGGAACTTGTGTAGATGCAAAGGATTCCCAGGCAAATGATGGAGAAACTGAGTAAGAGCACAGAAAGACGAATGAGGGAAAAAACAACATTTTTCATGTTTCCCAGCAGACACAGCACAAAGCTCCCACCCGTTGTTTGTTTACTGTGTGCCTCAGCTGTGCTTCTCATCTTTGTGCAGCACTATTTTATACACATCAGCCCTGACTGGCCTTTGGACAATTAAGAGAAACAGACAATTTTAAGATACTCATTAACTCTGTAAGATACTCATAATCTCTTTCGAGATTAATTTGTAATCTGAAACCAGCAAACAAACTTCCTGCACCAGTTTTTTGCCACTGCTACCTCTGGAGTTCTTACTGAACTGCTGCTTTCATCACAATGAACAGTGGCCACGCACTTTGCTGGTTGGTGAATGACGACTTCTGTATCTATCTGTCTTAAAAAGAACAACAACAACAAAAAAGGAACACAAAACACTGTTGAGATGCAGATAAGGGCAGAAAGACTGCCAGGTAACCTATGGCTGATATGATAAACCATGCGAAGTCAGTCAAGTGCTTCCCACCTTTCAGTACCTTCTCAAAATCCCATCAGGCCATATTTCCTGTCACCTAGTTGTATTTTCTGATATGGGTATTCAGAACTCATGTTCACATATAGTTTCCTGAAACTCATGCTCGCATGTTGTTTCCTTACTGTATGCTCTCAGGTCAGTTATTCTGACAAGGAAATAACCTTCCCACTGATTGATTAAGCTCTTGTCAGCATCTGGTATGAGGACATCACTCATTAATATCTCGGGATTGTTGTGCACAACAGCAATTCACAGAAGTACTTGAATACACCAAATCTCCAGAATGCCTCGGATGCAGAAATCTGCCATTTACATTCCACTGAGGTGCCTTGAGCCTCTGATATCTTTCCATATATCTTCAAATGATGTAACCTGGAAAGCAGGTTTCAACCACCTGCTTATTTCTATGGTGCTCTGCCAGGCGGGTCTGCCCTTACCACCATTTGGGTCCCACAGCATTCCATCCAGGCAGGTGGTGGGTTAGTTCAAAGTATTCTTGGGCTTGCCACCATCTTTGCCTGCAAACACCAGAAAGACAGATGTCCACAGCTCACATAGAGGCTGCTCCACATTTCAGTGTGTGTGGATACATGGACAACACTGTTTACAAGTCTTTATCTAAGGGATTCAGCACTGTGTGCTAGTTGCTAAGTTATTTCCTACAGAATAATAATAATAACAATAATAGTAGTAGCAGTAGTAGTAGTAGTTAGTAGTAATAGTAGTAGTAGTAGTAGTAGTAATAGTAATAATAATAATAAAGTTTACTCAGAAATCAGAAATAAGAATGTACCTTAACCTAATGTCAAGTTAATTTTCCAGTCCTCATTATAAGAAAAACTCCTCCACATGTACCTCTGAATTGCATATATTTTGTAATGAGCAGTAATATTTTGCCTTTGTGATACTGTAGCTTACAGTCAAGCTTGCTCAGTTTGAAATGTCCTGTACCCAATTTCCATCTTAGACAAAGGAGAGGAGTGTTGTGTATTGGTGCTTTTATTATAGAATCACAGAATTATTTGAGTTGGAAGGGACGTTTAAAGGCTATCTAGTGCAACTCCCCTGCAGTGAGCAGAGACACCTACAACTAGACCAAGTTGCTCAGAGCATCATCCAACCTGATCTTGAATGCCTCCAGGGATGGAGCATCCACCACCTCTCTGCAACCTGGGCCAGTGCCTCACTACTCGTATAAAAAACGCGTTCCTTATATCCAGCCTACAGCACCGGTCCCAGTACTGACTCACGCTGGATGCAACTCATCTCTGATCTTCATCCAGATGCTGAGCCACTGAGCACCACGCTCTGGGTACAATTTCACAACTAGCTTAATGGATTTTAGTTCCCATGAGGGGGAACTGTTTATAAATATCTAAGTGTGGAAGTCAAGGTGATGAAGGCAGATTGTTTTTGGTGGCTAATGGAAAATTCCACACAAACACAAACAAGTACTTGTCAGTGAAATGCAGCACTGGAATAGGCTGCCCAGAGGGGCAGTGGTGTTTCCTTCCCTTGATGTATTCAAGACCTGACTGGATGCTTTTTTGTGCAACCTGCTGTAGAGAACTGTCTTTAGCAGGGAGTTAGTTGGACTCAGTGGTTTCCAGAGGTCCCTTCAAATCTACAATTCCCTGATTCTCAGTGAAGTCTCAGTTTGCCTGCGCATTCATGGTGATAGCCACAAGCCCTGAGCTTCTGAGCTTGCACAGCATTTGGAAGCTGTGTTCCAGCAACTCTGAAGGATGAACTAACAAACCTGATCCTAAAACTGTCTCAAACCCAGAATGGACATGGAGTCACAGAATTACAGAAAGGCTTGGGTTGGAAGAGACCTCAAGGATTCATCCAGTTCCAATTTCCTACCATGGACTGGGCTGCCACCCTCCAGCTCAAGCAGCCCAGGGCCCCATCCAACCTGGCCTTCAGTGCCTCCAGGAACAGGGCACCCACAACCTCTTTGGGCAGCCTGTGCCACTCCACTGTCTCAGTGACAAATTTCCCATAATGTCTAACTGAAATCTCCTCTTTTAGTTTAAAACCATTCTGCCTTGTCTTGTCAACACATTTAGACAGTGTGGATGGTAAACCTATATCTATATATGTAGATACATTCTGTACCTATACAGACATCAATAAAAGAGGGAGGTGTTCCTTCAGAGGTAACACCTGCTGCGCTATGTGCTAAGCTGCCCTCTGAGCAGCAAAATTGTTTCTTCAGTCCTACCACGCTCAACAGTGTCAGAGAATTGCAGTTGGCAAACCTGACACCCCACGGGGATGGAGAAGCCAACAGAGCTCCCAAACACTCTGTCTCCATTGTGGCTCTGAGCATCTGCCTGAGATGGTGTGCAGCCAAAGTTACCACACAGGAGCTCCTCTGTAGCAGTGCAAGTTACTTCACACTCGGGCAACAGATTCTTCTCTGAGAAGAGAAGGTCCCAGTGCAAGAAAGATCACCAAACTCCATCGTCTTTGGGATGCTGCATCTTATACTGAGCAGGGAAATAGAAGCCATTGCTCTTATGATCAGTGTCGCTACTGGACCCAGGGAAGGAACCATCCTATGGCAATTTCTAGGAATCTGGCCATTATGTTGAATGTCTGAAAGGCTGAAAAATTAAAATGTTACATAATTTCAGTCTCAGCTGACGTCGTTTACTCTCTGCGTGGCCTGTTCCGCAGTGACATTAGAGATTAGGATCCTAGACACCTGTCAGCTACAAAAATGAGACTAAGCTATTTGCCATTGCAGTGTTAGTTAAACAATCTAATTGTTTAATTAAACACTTCTATTTAATTAGTTAAACATCTTAGGCAGGCAAATGAACACCTTGAAAATGACCTATGAGTCATGATTCTTTGCTGTGCTCCACTGGTGAAACTATTGAGGTAATGCTTCTTCCTAATGGAGGCAGAAATAGGGCTCAGCATTACTGCAGCTCTTCATTTGTATTCTTCTTGAGGAGAATGCTGTAAAACAGCAGATCCCTGCCCTGGCAGATACCGACTGCTGAGTCACTTGGTAAAGATCAGGAACTGGCCCTAAAGGATTTGCAGTCCTCTTGGTGGGAAGGGGCGCAGGCAGACAGGGTGGAGCAAGTACTTTTGGTATGCTGCCATGTTTGTCAAACAGTTTGCAAGTTTTCATCTCACTTCCTACTCCTTGTCTTTATGGAGATTTAAACCTTTCTGGAGATTTTGAGTAGAACAGGCTCCAAGCAGATTTTCCTCTGAATCTCTTTTTAGTGGTACTTCTCTCGTAGAGAAGAAGGGGAATTGTATCTGCTGCCTTTGGGGAAGATGCGGCAGGAGGTTGCTGAAAGCTGGCCATGTCTGTGAGGGCAGCAGGAGCCAAGGGTGTGCAGGGGGACTGGCAGTGGGCTGCAGGCACCCACAGGAACATGAGGCTGGGTGGGTTCACAATGGCCCTGCCCACTGTACAGACCCCAGCCCATCGTTCTGCTGGCACTTGTCTGTCTCTGAGTGCCCCTCAGCTCTGTGCTTCCTTGTTCCGTACAGTCAGGTACATTCTTCCTGCAGTTCATTTTGCCCTGTAAACTAGCAGATCCAGCTGAACTACAATGGTATTTTTTCCCATATATTTTGCACTTTTTTCTTACCTGCTAAACATATATAACTTTACAAAATCATTCTCCTTACTTCTGTGGGCTTTTGATGCTTTCAGACTGTGCAACTGGAAAAACAGTTGTTCAGGACTGCTAATGAAGTTCACATCATTGCCTGTAATTCGTATCTTCTATGATGCTCCAGCTTCAGCTTCCACATAACACTCTCTGAGACAACTGTGTTGATGAACAGGCAATGAGTGGGTAACGTGGTTTGTCCTTCATGGTGCAGTGAGGAAGGAGGAACGGGACTCTTGGCTGGGGAATCTGCAGGCCTGACAGCTGTTCTGCATTTGTGGGTCTTTCCATTTTTGCAAGCTGTAGGAGTCTGCTATTTTCGGCAAAGTTAAGTCAATGTCCACAAACTGTCGGTATCTCGAGCTGAACACAGGGTTTCATTTTGAATCACTTCTTTGAATGACTCTATTTATATAGTCAGCAAAGATGAAAGATGAGAGGCCTGAAATAGCCCCACAATATAATTTTCAGGGTTCTGTTATTTTTCTTATTTTCTGTTGCTTTATTTTCTTCAGTGTTCGTTCTTGGCCTTTTTCAACTCCCCTGTTGCATGTCAGCTAGGCTGTTTTATTGGCAGTGAGTACCACAGGCTGCATCAGTCTGGATGAGCAGATTTCCTTTTTCTCTTACAAAACAGGAAGAAACTTGCTGCTAATGAGGGTCAGGTGGGAAAAGGGAGTAGCTAGCACAGTGTAAAGGTTGTGAAGCAGAACTGGCTGAAGACCAAGGTCAAAAGGTAGCAGTCCAGACGCACAAAAAGCAATTCTGAGGAAGTCCAACTAGAGATGAACTTAATGGATGTTCCACCATACGATTTGACCACAGTGACTATTTTGCAATCAGCATTTCACTTGGAAAGGTCATTGCTCACCATGTATCCTGTTGAAACCTGTAATGCAGTTTTCACACAAACTGGTTTTTAGAATTATGCTACTCAAAAAGGA